AAGGTATTATTATTAAATTAATATTTGATAAGTGTATTGCTGTGTTTGTGTCTTGTTGTTTTTGTCTGAGAAAAGTTCACATACTTATTTTGAAGCGTCGTTTAAAAGGAGATACAAGAATTAAAATTTTGTGTCATGAGCAATGGTCAAAACACCGTATCCTTTCAGCAGCTCTGTGGGGGAATCAAATCGTCCATATTGTCACGAATGACAAATGATGAGGCGGTGAATAACTGGACGAACTAAACGTTTAATGGGGCGAAGTTGTGCCCAAAACAAAATAGAAGAAGGTTAGCGTCGCAGGCGTCGATGTCGCCGAAACAGCAGGAGCGAGTGCTGCATGGGGCGAAAACTGACATGCGGCTCGGCACGCGGAGCCCCTTATCTGTACACATGTGGGCTTCTGGAACAATCATGTTCGGCGCGTAGAAAATTCGGACCTCGAATGAACAACAATGTTCTCGAGTTCACCAGAACGCGACATTTACAGAAATAACAAAAAGGCGCGTCCGCTTCCAAACATCGAACCCCGAGCCCTTTGCGTAGGAGCCAAGGACGATAACCATTCGGCCACCGGCGCGCTGCCTGCTTCGCCAACTGCGCGTGCGGCAGTGTTTGTGGTACACAAATCTTATTGCTTTCCTGTGACCACTTTCAAGACTATTGATATTGGTTTGTGTATGAGGGAACCAGGCTATGATTGCATATCCGAAGTATACTGGGCGCACCAGTATAGTGCATATGCGAACAGTTTGGTTTCATGACTTGCGTGTTTGAACGTTCTTGAAAAAAAAATAGTAATAATTTGATAAGAGCTTTAGATGTCGAATATTGTATATGCGCGTTCCAGTGTAAATCTGATGTTATCACTACACCTAGATGCTTGCATTCAGTTACTCTACGGAAGTTTATACCATTTAGATTGCAAGAATATTCTAGAACATTTATTTTTCGTTTTAGTCAGGCACATACAAACCGTCTTTTCTGCGTTTATAATTATTTGCCAGTCACTGCACCAGGGAGCCACTTTTCTTAGAGTCGTGTTTAGTAATATTTGGTCATTTTGGCACGAAATGTCCCGATACATAATGCAGTCATCTGCGAATAACTTTATGTTTGCGTCGATGACGTCTGTAACGTCGTCTATATGAACAGAAGACATCAAAGCGGAGCTGAAACTGCACCTTGTGGAACTCCAGATTCCACTGCAACCGGTTGCAAAACGCGCGCCCTTGATAACAGACAAACTGAAGACGATTTCTTAAATACTCCTCTATCCATTTTAGTGCTGGTCCTTCCCGCGTAATGTGTTTGAGCTCATTTATAAGTTTGACGTGTGAAACGCGGTCAAACGCCTTTGACAGATCTAACAAAAGTACAGGCTGTCACAAAAGAAAATTTACAGGGTTTTTATTTGCGCAAAAATAAACTAGGCATCCCCGAACGCTCATTTTCCGCGCAAAGGTAGAGCTAGAGGTCACAACCAGATGCCAAAGTTTCAGCCCGATCCGATAACTGAATCAAAAGTTATAAGTGATTTTCTGAAAATTTCAATGGGAAAATGGCGGCCGACGGAGTTTTCGAATACATGGGGCTCTATGGGCACCAGACACCGAAAACGGGCGAAAATGGGCTCCTTTTTCCCATTGAAATTTCCAGAAAATCACTTATAACTTTTGATTCAGTTATCGGATCGGGCTGAAACTTTGGCATCTGGTTGTGACCTCTTTCGCTACCTTTGGGCGGAAAATGAGCGTTCGGCGATGCCTACTTTAATTTTGCGGAAATAAAATCCCTGTAAATTTTTTTTTTTGTGACACCCTGTACATATATTTTTCTTCTGTTGTTTATACCCACCGAGAAACCATAGTGTGTCTCGATTAGCGTCGTCGACCCCTCGCAGTTCGATACTATTCGTAAAACGGAAAGGTGAAAAAAAAAAAATCTACATAGGTTGCGGCGTGCATTAAAATGATTAACTTGAGGCACAAAATACAGATCAACACGCGTCTCTGACGTCACGCCTCTGCGGTGGCGCTGTTGTCGCCACGGCGCATGCGCAGAAGCTTCACCTCACGCGAATCTGGTTTCTGCGGTCGCGCAGTGCCCACACTTGGTGTGGGTAAACGTGTGCTTGTTTGTAAACATTGTGCACGCGTTTCTGACGTCACGCCTCTGCGGTGGCGCTGTTGTCGCCACGGCGCATGCGCAGAAGCTTCACCTCACGCGAACCTTGTTTCTGCGGTCACGCAGTGCCCACACTTGGTGTGGGAAAACGTGTGCTTGTTTGTAAACATTGTGTCGGTCTATAGAAAAACCACGTAAGTTCAACGTAGATTGCGGGGGAAAAAAACACGAATATAATGCTTGGGTGGTGGTGGGCACAGAACGCACTGCACTGACGAGAAATTGGAGTTCAGCTATGGTGGCAGAGTCACGTGATAACAAGATGGCGGCGCCCATGCAAAGCTGCTGTGAAACGTCTGTTGTAGAATGACCAACATTATAATCGTAAACAAAGGTAGGGTCATAAGCGACGGCGTGGTGTTTTGAGTGTTACATAGTTGGACCTCCTCATGCACACGGAATAACGGATTTTTCATGCACCTTGCACACACCTAGAAAATAATTGATTTAGCTGTCCGAATCCCAGTAAGATTTATGACGTATTTTGACGGCGGGCAGCAAAACTCCAGTAGGAATGGTCTGGCTAAAGATATTTTTTACAAGTTAAGGGATCTTAGGTAAAAAAGTGATCTAATTGTAGCTTCACACTCCTATTTTGATGCTCACCATGGTCGATAACGTTATCCTGAAAATAACACAGCGTTATTTCAAGCGTCTTTTTTTTGTTGTTGTTGTAATATTTCCGGTTGTTGGTGAAACTCTGGATTTGTATATTCATACAAAACTAAATTTCATCGAGTCGAAATGGCAAAAACTAACACGAAGTGCAAGAACTGGTAAGCAAAACCTAATTAAAGGTTATAACAAAATAATTCGCGGCTGTAAAGTTTTAACCACAGAGTTTTGTAACTTTCATTTAAAACGCGTTCTAATAAATACAATAAAAAATCTCGTAACGCAGTGAGTTGATGATGGGGTTGATGGTTGAATAAATTCGCTATTCTTGCTGACCAACTTTGACGAATAAGAAAAGAAAAAAGAAATGCGAACGCACGGAAAGCGGTTAAGAAAAAAAAAAAACCGATGTTTAGCAGGCGAAGCAAGCGCATCGAAAGCGCACATGCCTGCCGAAACGATGTTTTGGGACTTCAGCGGACGACACAGAAAAGGTCGACGCACTCTGTCAGCAGCACTCCCCATCAGGACCCTTTTAAGAAGTTGGAGCGCCGGGCTAAGATGTCAAGGATGGGCGGACGGCAAGGGGACACTCCGTGGAGATCAAATAAAAGCGAGACGCGCTGCTCTTCTCTCCTCACGGTCTTGCTAAGAGAGGTTTGCTTTCAGGAAAACTCGATCGTCGACTCTCGCAGAGCCACTCGGGGAAAGGGGGGGGGGGGCTCTACTTCGTTCACCCCCCCCCCCCCCCCTTTCTGCGCTGGCAGTGTGGTGGGAGCTACGTGCTCGCCGGACCAATCATAAGTGTCCCTTCAATCACGTGACCCCAGTGTATGCTCGTTGTCATGGGCGCGAGCGTGTTCGCGTGGCGAAAGATGGACAGAGGAAAACGGGGTGTTGGAAGGGAACGGCATATCACCGACGACATTTTGGAGAGTGATACGAAAGGGAAATCTATGATCAATACAAAACTATAGCAAGACGCGACATTTATCGTCCCTGCAACTGTACATATGTTACAAGTTTTTTTTTTTTTGGTGAAGTTAGGAGATGGCAGTTTTACAACTGGAATCTTGTTTTTACTCTTTCTGATATCTTTGTCGGGACTTGCCTCAAATTTAGCTACTCGAGCAGTCTGAGCACTATGTGAATTTCTAATTCTGCGTGGATTTATTTCGGTAGCGATCAGTATTCTATGCGTGGCTTGCACTGACGTCATATCAGCGGCCTTTGTCGACCTTGCCGCTGAGCGCGCACCTTCCGAGGCGTACATTTCGCGACGTCGAAATTATTTTCCTTGACGTTAAGAAGGAGAAATGACCACCAGCAGAATGCAGTGACGTCACGTGCGGGCGATATATAGGGTAATGTATTTATTTTGTGTGCGACAGTGTCTCGGGGAGAATGATTGATCCATGTTTTCACGAGCATCTGTACGAAATGAATGCCTCTCATGGGTTTAATATAAAACATACAAAAAATACGGTTGGGGTCATTAAACTTAATCGTTAGCGAGCCTTGCACACAGTGCCCCTTATAGCAAATCCCTAACACTTTCCAACATTTTTGGGGATTTGTGACAGGAACAGTTGTTGAAAACAAAATCCCTCAATACGTGCCGAATATTTTGTGCACAGGACGATTGCTAAAGACATAAAACCTAAAGAGTCGAAGGAGATTAATGTCGAGAACACTGTTACTCTTTGAATTATAGAGCTCAACAAATGTATAGTATTTTTTTGTAGCGATGCTTGTGTAATATCAAAGATTCGTGCCACTTATCGACTGAGACAGCTCTGCATTAAATATTGCTGTGTTTGGTGATGAGGACCTTTTGAGGATTTGACGCTTGCTGGGGGTATACCATTCTCCATAGCGGACTAGATCTCTCAGTCGTCCTGGACAGTTGCCGAAGACGACAGCCCGCAACAGCCGAGGGGATTTATGTTGAGGGCATTGAACTCAAGAACCGTATATATTTTTGTCGTGATGCTTATTTACTATTAAGGAGTTGGGACACTTGTTAACAATTCCTCAACAAGTGTCGCGGAGTTTGATGATAATGCCATTTGAGGACCTGTGACCCTTGCTCTCTGAAGTGATCCCTGGGCAAGTGTTGCCGAGTTTGACGATGCTGTTTTTCTGAGAATTTGTTACACTGGCAGAGAGTATACGAATCTTCAGCGCGGAAGACAGCGTCAGTCGTCCTTCTTGTCTGTGACAATGGACGGTTCCCGTTGAGCCCGTCGCTGCTCAGCCGCGGCTTCCCTCTCCGCTTCCTTTCGAATCCGGCGGGTTTCGGTGACGTAGATGATGGTCAACAGGACTACCACCTGAATCACGATCCCGACAAAAGGCACCAGAGGCGCGTACCTGGAACGAATGTGTAAATGAGGGATATTTTGGACGCTGCACCTGTCGCGTGCCACCTTGGCTAGACAAGATTTGCGTTTCCTTTGCGCCGCTTACCTGCTCCTGACCCTGACCATCACATCTTCCTTGTCTGTGTCGGGACCATTGCTGGCGATGCAGGTGTACACCCCTCGGTCGCCGTCCACGACTTGACGGATGATAAGGCCCCCGCGAGTCGTGTTATGGACGTCCTCGAAGAGAATTCTCTTGCCGTCTTCACGAAGAAGCTTGCCGTCCTTGAGCCAGCTCACCTGGGGTGTCGGCACCCCGGTGGTCTTGGCCACCAGCCTGGCGCCTTCGTCCGCCATCCAGTACGAAGGCTCCGGAGAGGACAGCTCCCTGTCGATCACGCACGTCACCTTGTAGCGAACCTGCGTTGCGAGGCGCAAAAGTGCGCTGAAGTCGCAGTAAAGGCTCGTTCAGCACTTACGACTACTTAGGACTACAGGATCCGGCGTTTTTGGATAAATCCGAAAAACACTAGCCGGTCAATTTTGTCCGAAAAAAAAAAACAACAACTAAAAGTTTCAAAATCACAACAAGGACGACAACAAAAAAGACGGTGTTTTACAAATGAATTTCAGTGGTTCAGTGGCCTTCCGTTTTGTTTGAAATCTTGGACTACTGGAAAAAGCGGGTTTACATCTCAGTTCGCCGAGGTTCGTTCAAAACTTCTGGGTCACGACAAAAAAAAAAATAATAATAAAACGTAGTGTATGTATCTAATTTGAACCATATACTATGTGTACTTTTTAGAGGATGGAGAAGTGATGTTTCAATAGTTGTAAAAGCTACGAACCCATATGTTTCAATCAAGGAGCTTAGGCTTCTATGCTTCTCAGCGACTGCGTCCAAGAATTCGGTTTTTCAAAGTATCGACTGGCGCTGAGGTATCACTTCATTGATACACTTGTCGTGGGATAATTAGTAGTGCCAACGGCAAGCGCGCCAATGCCAATTGCCGCTGCAGAAATACAATTTGATACTGGTGATCCCTGATGAATTTAGGGTAGGTTTGTGTCCTGTCTTTATTTCTTTTGTTTTTAAGTTGCGGAAAATTAAGAACACAGTAAGATAAAACTCATAATTTCGGAAAATTGGGAATCTAACAGCAATAAACTCCGATAAACCCCAAAACTAAACTCCAAAAAACACCCCCGGAATTTTCACGAGAAATAAACTCCGAAAACACACAGTCCCAGTGATAATTAAGCCATGCACGCGATTTGGTTACGGTGCCTGCAAGAACACGTTTTGGATTGGTGTTTTTATCGTCCTAACCCGCCCATGCATCGAAGTTGGTCCCGAATGCTGGCGGTTGGTCGCAGAAATGCTGGCGAAAAAGGCGAGCGGAAGCAAGGGTCGTTGTCGACGCGGTGTATACCATCTCGTGTCTGCTTTGGTTTATGCCGACTGGCGGCGGGCTGCAGAGCGACCTACACGAGAACAGGCGCCTGCCGCTTCCACCTCCGCCGCTGTGCCACCGCCAGGATCGCGACATGCAACAGCATGATACTTCTATGACGTCATGAGGCGGAAATCGAGATACCACTTTTGAAGGTGCGTTAAACACACCAGTCGGAGACGCGCTCCAGGAACCATAGCTCAGGGACCACGCGTTTCCAGCCGCAGCCGCGTACCTCGATGGTGGCCGTCTCCGTGGTGCCTCGCTTCTTGCAGCTGTAGTTGCCGGCGTTCGCCTGCGTGGGATGTCTGATGGTCAGGCTGGTTGTGTCGTCTGACACCGTGACCCCTTGGCTGGCGTTGAGTCTCGCGCCGTCTTTGTCCCAGTCGAAATCGGCGCTGCTTTCGTTGGCCGCTGGCGAACAGGACAATTCCAGAGTGTCGTCGTAAGGCTTAACGAGGAGACCGGACCCGGGGAAGCGTTCGTTGGTGTGGATGCTCTGGGCCCACACGAAGAGGCGGGTGGACGTTTCGGTCGCGACGCTTCGGCACTGGTGGTGCTCGGCCCGGCAGGTGTACACGTTGCGGTCGTTGGGCGAGACGTCTCGGATGGTGAGAACGGCGTCTTCGACGTCGCTCCCTCGGTCTCGCGAGAGCGAGCTCCTGCGGAGGTGCTGTTCGGAGACGTTCAGGGGAACGCCGTCGACGAACCAGGACACGCGAGGATTGGGCTTGGCAAGGACCTGCAATGAGTGACCCGTTTTTTTTTTTAACACGCAAGGTGTTATAAAGCAACACGCTGTTTGCTTTATAACAAACACAGGGCAAACAAGTCATAGTTTGCCCTGTGTGGGCAATACGCATGCGCAGAAACCAGATTCGAGTGAAGTGAAGCGTCTGTGCGAGGGCCGTGCCGACACCCGGTGCACCCATCCGCACCTGCCCGTAAAAACACTTGATACGCGGACACATTGACAGGCCTGCTTTATTAGCTCACAGAGATCCTTATCACGCATAAATAATTGCTAACACGCTCTGTCGTTCCCAAAATCCACCAAATTTCGACATAATAAATGATCTGTAAAAGAAACACATCCTTGCAAAGTGGAAAGAGAGAAAGCCTGTTGGACGAGCGTGTGGATATGAATCGCTGTTCAGACCAGAGGATAGGGCTCGAGCACCGACCTTGCACACGACAGAGACGGTGGCTCCAGCATCGGCCACCTGGAAGGCAGGAAGCGGTTCCATCCTGATCGGGGACACCACCCTGACCTGAAGCTGAGGCTGCTCGTCGAGGTCAGCAAAGTCGCTGCTGGGATCCCTGTCGTTGTTGTCCAGCGCTTCGGACATGTCCACCTGGCAGCTGTACGTTCCGGAGTCGGATTCCAGCGCTGGAGTGATGACGAGTGTGTCTTTGAGGATGCGAAACCGCGGCTCGGTTCGCTCGATCCTACGCTGGTTGCGGTACCAGGACACGGGGGTCTCTCGTGGACGCGGAAGCCTACATGGGATCTCCAGCGTTCTGTTCACCTCCTGTACACAGAACGGGAAGATGGTCGAATCATGGTAGGAAAACAACAACTGGACAAAGAACCTTCTAGAAGTCTCCCATGTGGACACAAGCTTCCAGGACGTTTCCTGTCTGGTTGACCTCATATAGGACAACCGTATCGAAACGCCGGATGACGTCAGTGGAACGGGCGTACCGCGATGTCTCGTTAATGGAGAGTTTTAAAATAGGATGTCCTAACGCCTTGAGTCCTCCGAACAGCTTAGGGCGTCGATGTGCTCACGCGCGGGGCGATGCCCCAAGCATTAATCTTTTAAACGACTTGATCAATGAAGGAACATCATCTCGAGAGTGGTAAATTCAGAAATTCGCTTTCCAATTCAAAAATTTCTCACTTTCATCCGTAAGCGAAGTGCTACGCTCTTCAACAACTCTTTCGCTAATGCACCTAATGAACATGCGTACAGATCCAAATACATTGAGGTTCATCAGACGTCTCCCGCGAGGCAGATATTAAAGGGCAACTCCGGTCCATACTTTCGATTTTGGGATTATGACTGTTTTTAGTGCAGTCAGCGTCCCTGAATTGCAAGCTGTAATTTTTTTCTCGTTGTTGTGCGTAGCTTTAAAGATATCGACTCCTCAAAGTTTTGTTTGCGGCGCGGCCAACAAGAACGAAACTAGCCGCTCGAGGCCCCGGCAACACTGGAGATCAGCCGCTATGTGAACGTGACGTCAGGATCGTTCTCGTTCAACGAGTAAGCAGGCCGAGCGGCTCCTACCTTTGTTGCGCTAGCCGTCTAAAGGAGGTAAGCTGATTTCGTTTTAATTCTGTATACCGTATACGTGGTAGCTATTTAGCATATGTAGCAAGAGTTAGTGCGTATACCCAAAAGCTAGCGACTGGAAAACCCGTGAACTCGTACGGTGCCGTACTCGGCGGCCGCCGCCGTGCGTGCGCTATGCCGTACTCGTCGGTTGTATACCCAAAAGCTAGCGACTGGAAAACCAGTGAACTCGTTCAGTGCTGTACTCGGCGGCTGTCGCCGTGTGTGCAGTCTTCCGTACTCGTCGCTAGGCCTAAATTGTCATCGGGGCTCCGTGGATGGAGCGACGCCGCGCTGCCATCGTACCAGTACTGGGGGCCCTCTCGCTTTCGCGCTACGAGTCAGTCCCAGACACATAGCTTTGAGGCTCTCCGGCGCGGGCCGCGGCGCCCGAACACACGCGTGCTGGGCTGTAGATGTCTGTTTCGTTTTTTTTTCCTCGGGCGCGTAAAAGCCGAAGTAGTCCAAAGTCCACTCGTCGAACAGCGTTCACCCACACCTTCTCCAATTTTCGGTCTGTTGGAAACTTGTGAAAAAGCACCTCCGTTTTGCGCAGCGGGTTGTTTGAAGAGCCCGCAGCGCTACAAGTTGCACTCGGCATCGTTCGAGAGACTGCTGGGCAGTCTTGAGCGCACCGAGTTGCTCGCTGAAACGAGTCTTGGAGTCCTCGCAAGCAAATAAACAAAAGGCTATACAGAAGCTACACGGGCTACAGATAAAAGCAACGGCTAAACACGCCAATCACAAGCCGAAGTAGCGGTGGTAGCGGCTCAAAGAAGCGCACTCCGCGCAACGCGCGGACTGGAGGAAAAAAAGAGAACGATACTGACGTCACGATCCAATGACCAATGTTGCTTTAGCGATCGGCAACCCGCTGGCCGCCCGCTAAGGAGCAGCGGCTCGCGGCGGGTCGCATTTTTATTATCAGCATCAGTTGAGAATGCGGCGTCTCACCAACGTAACATTTTGGCTGGGGTCGTATTTTGTGTCACTACAGCGATACCAGTAATTTATTTCATTTTGAGTTTTGGCCGGAGTTGCCCTTTAATACAATCACTGCAACGCGAAGCAAACTCTGTTGTATAACGCGAACACTGCCAATCACTACCTTAAAAAGAAACCTCAGCACACTTGAATTGTTCACCCCAAGGTTGCGAAGTCCCCATCAGCAATATATAGCACAAAAACTAAGATCAGTCCAAAACAAAAGCTCTCTCTTAATCTTAAAAAAAAAAAGAAATACCGCAGTTATTGTTGTGCAAAAAGCAAAAACAAAAAACAAAACAAAACAAGAAAACTTGGTACCTTTTTGTAGACTGAAGGAAAATGGGCAGAGTGCTTTATTTATTGCACACTCTATTACCACTGCCTGTTGAAGGGAAAATTGTACTGCCGGACTGCACCTGATATTTCCCTCGTACGAACCATTCACCGAAAGTTCATATGGCCACGAAAAGAACAAACCATTTCGAACTTTTTCCGCTCCAGTCGTCCGTCTACAAATTCAACTCCCCCCCCCCCCCCCCAAAAAAAAAAAAAAAAAAAAAAAAAGAAAGAAAGAAAAGAAATATATTGTCACCATTCGAGAATTTCCAGGCTTCAAAACTCCACCTGCTGCAGTCCTGATTGCCTACCAGTCTTCAACCTTGTGTTTTTTTTTTAAATGTTAAATTGTATCATTTTTGTTTTGCTGTGATTGGCCCCCTCACCTCTCCCCAGACCCCACTTGAAATGAAATGGAAAACGTGTTGTGAAAGTGGGCCTTTTAACTTCCACTTTACATTTCCATACTTTTTTTCTTTTAATTTTGGTAGTTTCATCTCACTCACTCGACGTCTATGGGGAGTATAACATGCTATAAACCCAAGAGTGACGATTTCTGGGTGTGCGATTCCAGTGACACTCATTTCTTCTTTCGTGCATGACAGTCAAGAACTACATCACGCTGCATTTTGGAATGTTCTGGACGTGGCAGGCTATACTACGGCTTCTAAACAGACATCTATGAGAAATTCGCTTCCTTTTAAATTGGCGATACACCGCCTCTAGAAGACAAAGTCGTCGCCTTTCCTCCTCTGACTTCAACACTTAAGCGACTCCGCGCAGCTCCGTCTATCCGTCCATATATATATATATATATATATATATATATATATATATATATATATATATATATAATATATATATATATATATATATATATATATATATATATATATATATATATATATATACTATATATATATATATATATATATATATATATATATATATTTATATATATATATATATATATATATATATATATTATATATTATATATATATAAATTAAATACAATTTTGTGGGCGAAAATGCATCCCTCAAATTTATTGTCACTGTCCAGAGCAGGAAGAAAACCACCTTCTGCACCGAATGCAGTGTCTCTCAATCAAGCACACGCGTTTAGTGACTTTGTGATTACGGTGCTAGTCCAGGGCAAGAATAGTGACGAAATCGGCGTTCACAGGCAGACTGGTTAAATAAGTGCCTGTAACAACTTGTGATGCTTTCCAGCCTGATTTCCATCCATATTTTTGCCTGGAACATTCTAAATGCGCGGGTCGTCCAGATTTTCGTAACTGGTGCGAGTTGCAACAATAAAACATTCTCTAGCTACTGCTGCGCGTCTTGGTCGTCTTGTTTCTTTGTTGGCCTATACCAAAATGTAATCGACAAAAAAAGCTGCTCGAAGCTCTGTACTTTTTCACCTATTACGTCCAAGCTGATTACATTTTTTGTGATTATATTTCTATTACGTTACTAGAGCCTCGCACACTAACTCCCGAGTGTGCCATGCAAAATTAAAATGAGATACCCAGAAACCCGTTGCTGGTGCCCTGAAGTCGCTGACGCAAATTTTGAGGAATGTATTTGGAAAAGTATTTGGAGGAGACCAAATACATTTGGTTGTATTTGTATCTTGTACTTAAATGCTTTTTTGGAAATGTATTTAGATTTGTAATTAAATACATTTTTGACGAAGTATTTTGTATTTGTATTTCGATACATATTTGCATGTATTTTGCCGATCCCTTATATATATATATATATATATATATATATATATATATATATAATATATATATATATATATATATATATATATATATATATATATATATATATACCGGGTGTTCATTTACAATTGGAACAGATTTATTACAAACAATTCGTAAAAGATGCACTAGTACGGTTTGTTCAAGTGAGTTATACGGCCAGGGGAACATTATGTGGGTGACTAATCCTTGCGAGAAGTCGGCTAATTCATTAAAATTCGTTAATTAACTTTTTAATTAGTGAAAAGAGACATGGTTTCAATTAGAAACTGAAAGAGCGTTATGGAGAACCACTAAATCAATTCTTTTTAGAGCGATTTGAAGCTCGTGAAAAACTCGGGGGCGCACCAAAGTTACCACTCGTGAAACAGGCGCAAGAACGCAGATGATTAGATCATTATCGCGTTCTGCAACTCTAGCTTTGCGCCTACTTCACGAGTGGTAACTTTGGCACGCCCCCAAGTTCCCCACGAGCGTCAAGTCGTTCTAAAAAGAGTTGATTTAGACGTTCTCCATAATGCTCTTTAAGTTTCTAATTAAAACCATGTCCGTTTTCACTAATTAAAAAGTTAATTAACGAATTTTAATTATTTAACTGACTTATCGAAAATATTAGTCACCCACATGATGTCCCCGTGTAACCAACCTGCACAAACCGCATAAGTGGATCTTTTACGAAATTTTTGTAATAAATCTGTTCAAATTAGAAAATTACCCGGTTTATATAGTATTGTTTTTTATTTGTCTCGTTGTTATTGCTATCATTACTAGTTGTCATTATTTGTATATGTTATCATTCTTTCTAAACAGTTAAATTTACCCCCTCGTGTATATGGTGTTCGGGGAGCTTACGAGGTTTCAATAAATGAAAATGAAATGGAAATCTGCCGCTTCGCCGCGTGCTCTCGTCAAGGCG